CCAGGGCAATATTTCACAAACTGAAGATCTAAAGCCAATCATAGTATAATTCAATTGACTTTGTAATTCCCTAGATAGAATTATGCATTATGGCTCGGTTCATGCATCAAAAACAGAACAACAACAACAACATACCCAGTAAAATCCCACAAGTGGGGTCTGGGGAGGGTAATGTGTACGCAGACCTTACCCCTACCTTAGGATATAGAGAGGTTGTTTCCGATGGACAGCATCAAGAACAGAGGAAAGCTAAAACTAGTAAAAACAAATAGAAGGAAAACAAAATAAGTGCTAAGAAGGATCAAGTAGCACTAGTTGCAGCCGGCCCTTATGAAGTATGAACTGCGACGAGTAATGTTGTGTGGTGGTTGAGAAGGAAGCGGTAGTAGGAGCTGTAGCTAGACTCGCATTTTGTTTTAAAAGCGGAGTGCAATTTAAGAGGAGAGAGGAATTCTAATTAACTAGATCCTTGAGAGAAACATAGAACAAAAAATACAACATGAAGCTGCAGGTGACAAGCTTCTGTGGTGAAAGACTTTAAACATATTATAGGTCTCGAACTATCTGAAAACAGACACATCACAAACTTTTGTGTTCTTTACTCCTATCCATACAGAACTATCTCAACTCCTATTTGATGAATATAAAACATGAAAAACCTGCAGTTTAAAACAAGAACAGATTTTGGGCCATGCAGCCTCAAGTACAAGTTAAAGACTTTTGCGTGACTTATACTAGTTCTTTAAAGTCTGAGCCACAAAGGCCAAATATCTAGCTCATTTACACGACAACTAAAACAAAAACCAAGGGTCACTTCAGTGACTACTCCAACGGACTGCTAATGACTAATATCCCAGACCACAAAAGTTTATAACCTCATCTCCTACAAACTAATACCACAGAACCTTTTGACTTTGTTCCTTAAAGAAAAATGCATCCTAATGCCAGTTTAGTCAGAAAATAATGATTAAATCAGAATAACTTCAAACATGGAACAATTAAGGATGAGAACAAACAGATTGATTAAGCACCCAATGTCAATAAATAGGCTTCTTCTTGATAACCAGTCAACTAACCCCCACTTCTACATTCTGTTATAGCTCCAAAACAAGTCACTTACCTACTTAGAGAGCAAGACCAATGTGTTTCCACCAACAGCCGACACATAAAGAGAAAGAGTGAATCGATTTTTTTAAGTACAAACTTCAAACAAGTCATGCTTACAACTTGTATAGGTTGGGATAGTTTGGCTGAGGACTGCAGATAAGCTAACTATGCACTATGTATGTATTTTTTTTTAATGGCGGTGGTGTTCAGGCTAGCTTGAACTCACCTTGACTATTCCACCGAGTACCTATTAGCTCCGACCAGCATAGGTACCGGATGTATATTTGACACACCAACTTAGCATGATATTCCAAAATTTATTTGATCTATGCAATAATGAATTACAACAGCTTCATGCATTGATATATCAGATAATGATCACACGGCTTTTAACTTTAACAACTCTCACGATTTCCACAGTACAGAACGTTAAAAATGTCTTCTTTTTTTAAACTTTCAGTTCTTTCCTCTCTTTTTTGGTCAAATCGAGATAGCATGATCGCAACATTCTATATCATACCTTGGATCCTTCAATGGCAAATTGGAAAAGCCGAATTCCATTCGCATTTAAAAACTCTACATTCGCTTCAGGATATGGCTCCGGACACAAATATCTACACACAAAATATTCAAACAAAAAGAAAAATCAACAACACTAACATCGTTAAAATAAATTTAAAAAAAACGAAACTTTAAGTAACAAACACATGAATGAATGAACGAATGAACGAACGAACGAACTAACATGATAGAGCGAAGGCCTAGGGTTTGCAAAAAGGAGAAGTTAGCAATATCAGGGAAACCAGACCGAAAAACACCGTAATCAACCATAGAGAAATTGAGAGGCGGAACGAGTAGTCCTTCACCGGCGTCGATTGCCGGAGAAAAATTCTCCGTCAAACCGTCGGCGCCGCCGTCGGAGTTTTCAATACGGTGACACGTGGATCGATCGTCGCCGTTTTCCAATCGCATTGCTCTGTGGTGGCGCCAAGTTAAAGACAGAGATTACGTATTTGATTAGGAAATTGAAAAAAGTATCAAAGAGAGTTTGAATGTGAATTTTATCGTATTTATAAAGTGAGTGAATTTTAATAGTGTTATTGGATTTGGATTTGGTTTGATTCCTTGGAATCTTAAGGAATATAGATTCTTACATTTTATTTCTTTCAAGAGGCTTATGCAAAATAATAGTATTTTATTTAGCGGAGTCAAGATTTAAAGTTTAAAACTTCGAGATTTTACTCCTTTTTAATTTACTAAATTTTTAAATTAATAATTTAAATATTATTCAACGAATTTCTTTAGACAAACAAGTTTCGGTCGAACTTATAAGCTATATTGTAACTTTGTCCTTGATTCACTTCATCTCAAGTTTAACACCATATATTAATTGTTTGTACTCATTATATTAAACGAAAAAGGGTCATATATGTCCCTCTACTAGCTAAAATAAGTTAGATCTATCATTCGTTATACTATTTGATCAAAATTGTCCCTACCGTTCTAGTCTTTTGTTCAAAATACCCCTCTGCCGTCAAATGCCAATTTTTAAATTATAAAAAGTCACGTGTTAGAGTCCTATTGGCTAAACTAAATCCACTCCTCCTTTTTCTTTGACCCAATCAACCCGCCCAAATAATCCGATCACCCGGAAAAAAATCCTAAAAAAGTGCACTCTCTCCAACCTCACATTTTCCTTCTTTCTCCAGCAACTCATTTCTCCATTTAGCCCCATAGTATTTGGAGGAAGCAGGATTTGTTTTAATGTTGAGATGAAGAAGGATCTCTTTTATTGTTGTTACATTTCAAAGAGAATATTAAGAAGATTTTTCATCAATTCAAACAAATAAAACTTCAGAAGATTTGGTTTAAATGGTGGAAAATGCTGCAGAATATGGAAGTGCTGATAAGAATCGGGAAATTCACTTGTATAACAGAATTAGCTATCCAAGCAGATGCAACCAACTATGTGCCAATTTCAAAGTGCTGATCTGTTTCAACACAATTGATGATTGACACTCCTGGAACTATACAAAGTGGGTCACAACAAGAAAAATGGACATGAGTGCATGAAGATTCTTGTCTTGATGAAGCAGACCACACGTTTGCAGACCACACGTTTGCAGGGATAATTGATTCTCTATCAACCCTTACTATAGTTCCTTTGATTTTTTCAATAGTTATACATGTATTTCTTTTCTTTTTCTTTTCTAAATCAGTTTTCTTTCTGTGTTAGTTGGTGTAAAATTTTTAGATTTAGTGTTTACTTTCATAGTTGAATGGGAGCACTGAGTTTAATGAGCTAATTATCTGAATGTTAAAGTTTCAATCTTCATTTTTTGAGGAATTTGCCCTGTAGTATTTAGAGGAATGAGTTGTTGGAAAGAAGAAAGGGTCAGGTTGGGAAGATGACAGGTGTGAGATTTGGGCGGGTCGACTGGGTCAAAAAAAAAAGGAGGAGTGGGTTTAGTTTAGCCAATAGGACTCTGACACGTGACTTTTTATAATTTAAAACTGGAATTTGACGGTAGAGGGGTATTTTGAACAAGAGACTTGAACGGTAGGGACAATTTTGATCAAATAGTATAATGGAGGACAGATCTAGCTTATTTTAGCTAGTAGAGGGATATATATGACCCTTTTCCATATATTAAATTATTATTTTTAATACAATATTTATTTTGATTAATACTTTATTTTATTATATCATATTATCAAAAGAATTGATGTGTAACAATGAAAAAGTATAACAGTCGTTTGGTGTTTGTTGTTGTTTTCCTTCTCGTAAATAGCCCGATGCACTAAACTCATGTTATGTGTGGGGTCCGAGGAAGGATCAGATTACAAGGGTCTATTGTACACAGTCTTACCCTTCATGTCTGCAAGAGGTTTTCACGGCTCGAACCCGTGACCTCCTGGTCACATGACAGTAATTTTACAAGTTACGCCAAGACCGCATTTCTAAGCATTTCCATTATGAAAATATAAGGCCTTCTCATGTTTTGTTTGAAGCAAACTTATAACTTAAGTAGATGATTATGGAAATAATTTGATTTAGCCTATGACCATAAATCATCAAATAAGGCATCCTCATTAACTTAAGATTTATGGCTTCAAATTCAAATCAACATAATTGCAAGTTAGTCGTTTGATATATAAGGTAATTCCTACCTAACATTCTAGAAGTGACTAATCTTGGACTAATCTGATTAAATTAGTTGTTTAATTGTTTATGGATTAAAATAGAGTAACATTAAATCTAAGTTTCCTTCGTCTTTAACCAGAGGTCTCGGGTTCGAGCCCTGGGTATGGAGTCGCCTGTGTTAAAGAGCACTTTATCCCTCAGTGTGGGACTTCCCGACGTAAATTCAAATTCGGTCGGCCCCTATACGGGTACCGTACATCGGATAGGAAAAAAAAATCTAAGTTGGAAGGTGGTGAGTAAGAGAAGCCAAGTGGGAATTTGGTATGCTGAGATAAGGTGTCCATATTGTAAAGTCCTTTTTGGACGGTTAAAGTTACTGTATTTTTGTGGTTAGAGATAAATGAGAAAAATATTGGGCACTACTACTTTAAGATGGGCAAGGAAACAAAAGCTTCGAAAGGGACTTTATAAGTTAGTACACTCAACCAATTTTATTACACCAACTTGGAAACCATTGGCATTCAGTTATAGGTTTTCTTGAAATCTTTACCATAATATATTGAGTGATAGTTGAGTCATGTATGATTCATTAGCCATGTCGGGTGTTAGGTCAAATTTCAATTCTATACACAAGCTGTCAATCCGTTTGCTCTTGCCATAAACGGAGGCAAGTGCAAAATGAATTGATTTCATGTGTCCAAATTCTTCGGTCAACAAAAATTTCTCTCTCAATTTTTGGCTATGGTTCAAATTAACCTCAGGGTGAAGTTCCATTAATAGTCAAGGGAAGAAAGATACAAGAGAACAAGTTGAAAAAGACCGGCGGTATATGTTATGATGTCACATATCAATTATCAGACGTGAAATTTATCTCCTTATATTGGAAGTTGAGCCATACCCATCTCAATTCTGGAATTACTTCATGTTGAGTACATCTTTGAGCTAACTTTTAGATTTGAGAGTTCGGTTCAAGTCCCATTTCTTGGCATAAAGTTAGGCTCAAGGTCCATTTCTTATTTTCTTATTGGTAGTGTAATAAGATAGGAAGGGACCAAAGGCTCGATGTACTAAATCACTAGATCAGATGGCAAAATAGTTTTTGCACAAACAAGTAGCAATTCAAATTAAGCAAATCTAGTAATCTACCATTGTCAGGTTTTCACTACAATTTTCACTCTGCTGTCTTGATTTCCAGATACTATAAACACAACTCCTGAATCTAGGACATTCTTTTAAACTCGAACCCCGGAAAAGAAGAGATACATATTATCTATAAGAATTATGCGACTACTGTATAATCACCCGTTAAAAGCTAACAGACTTGGCTATAAGGAACCACCAAAATCAAAAACCAAAGTTAGCCTAATGCTCTGGTTAGACTTGGCTATAAGAAACCACCAAAATCAAAAACCAAAGTTAGCCTAATGCTCTGGTTATTCATGTACACCAGAGAATTGCTGTAGAGAACTCGTACCTCCTTTCTTTTTATAGCAAGCCTCTTCATCAGTCAAATGTTAATCGATCATTCAAATGTAATATCAAGCAGCAAGGACAAGTACTTTTATTGTCCCTTGACTGTTTGCCGTTAGAAGTGTTGGGCTGTCACGTTTCCAACAAACAGCACTGATGAAATATGATCCCATGTCCCCATCTGGATCATTATGATCATCAGAACCAAAGTTGTGCCAAGCTGCTGGCTTAGAAATTTCCTGTACATGTATTACAAACTAGATTAAGCACTGGAAAATGATGCTAAATCGCTCATGTATCTGGATAATGAGACTCGTGGTCAAATACTTTCAGAAATATACCTTGTGATATACAAACACTTCATTTGTCTCACTGCCACATGCAAGGTATTCACTGTTTACTGAAAGACCCACAAAGTTCTTCTCATTTGCATGTCCTTTAAAAGTACGCAGCTGCAATTAAAAGTAGAACAAGGAACATGCCCGTCACAAATTTGACAAGTCTATTGAAGAGAACATCAATCCAACTTCATTACGTACATCATAGCAGTGAAAACCAGCAAAAGGACCTTCTTTAAAACAAATCAGAAACTATAACCTACCTCTCCTATCCCTCCCTCACCTTTTCTTTTTTCTATCTTCTTTTAGCATGCTTATGGTCCATATTGAATTGGTTTTACCAGATTAATTAGCTATCAGGAATAAGATAGGCGATATTAATGAGAGCAATACGTGATTAATTTCTCTAAGATTTCAAATCGAGAAATGACCAGAGGATGATTACTTACTGGAACATTCTCCTTGACATCCCACAAACGCAATGTACTATCAGTTGATGCAGAAGCTAGCTCATTGTTGGATAAAAACTTTACATAAGAAACAGCTTTACGGTGCCCACTCAAAATATGCAGTGGCTGGCTAACATTTCTCAAGTCATAATAGTGAATGTGATGATCTGCAGAACCCACCTGCAAGATATTGGATCATGCTTTAGCATAGAATTTATGCAAGGGGAACCCCAAAACCGCTTTTGGGGGACAAGTAAAAAGGAAATGAGAACTTACAGCTACATGAACACTGGATCCAGGATTATACTTCACTGAGCAAATGTTAGCTTTCATGTCAATTGTAAGAACGCTGGCTTCCTGCTTCGTGCACCAAACTTTGACCTGTTGAGAAATAAATTTAAGCTTATTCCAAATCTTTACAAGTATATAACTCGCCAAAACAACTTTTGTTCTTTTGGTTTAGCACACTTTAACTCCATTGTTGGACCACACAAGGCGCAAACCACAGCACCCAACATTGCTCACATTTGAGGATTGTCTCTACTTCAATACAAAACCTAATATATATTCTTTAATACAGGAACACATATACAAGGAAAATAAGCCATAATTGGAAGTAACTATTGTCGACCACTCTGAGGAACTTAAGCTCTCAACTTCATGTCCAGCTTCTGAACCAGACCTTAATCAGAATATGTCACACTGAAAATATGATGAATCATCTGTATCTTATCCCTATACTGCACAAGAGAAATTGAATAAACTAAACTATGACAGTCACTCCTAACATAAATGGACACACTGACTTAAGAGTGGGAAAAGAAATCCAATATATATAAATCCCAATTTCATCTGCGTTGGTCAAAATTGTCAACTTTCAGACACAACATGATTTGTCATCCAAACACCAGATTAGAAACATCTCAATTAGAGAAAAAACTCATAGCTTGAAGTTCTATGTTACCTTGCAATCATCACTACCGGACACAAGCAGAGAAGGTTCAGTATGGCAAAAGTCAACACTCCATGCTCGTTTTTCATGCTCCTCATACTCCATCACACTCTGGAATAGAAAGTGTAATATTATCTCATCAGATATAAGTAGATATCCAGATAAAGGTGCTTTTCAGGACCTAGATATAAGAACAAAATAAACATCTGGAAGATGATACTACCTGACGAGTTGTAACATCCCAAACCGTCACTATGCCCTCATAGTCACTGCTTGCTAACTGGTTTTTAGTGCACTTGTTCCAGCTCAAACAACTTAATTTGGATCGTGTAGACATTTCAACAATAGGACATTGCGCATCTGCTGGTTCGTTCACCACCTGATAAAGAGAACATACAAGAATTACCTTCTATCTTTTCAAGAAAGCAGAACTTATGAAAAACTCAAATCTAGCCAAATTATTGAAATTCTTTTACTAAGAAAAGTGATAATCTCAGTTCAACTAAGCTGAACACTGATTTTCTCCCAAAACATTTCATTACATCAATAGCACATGAAAATCTCAAAATCCTATCTGGAGAAGAAAAAGGGGGATAGAAGTCAAGTCTAATTAATAGACATATCATTAAACTAGTAGCAGAAGCTTTTCTGGTAGGAGGATTTGCAGAATTTTAAGAAGATCTCATGAAGCATGAACTTACCGATGCAAACTCAAAGACCTTAATTCTTCGTGACACCCCAGCAGTAGCAAACAATTCATCATCTCGGTCAAATTCAATACTGTCAAAAGAGGAAATTTTGTGAGGCAAGAGTTCTTGCAAAAGAGAGTTGTACAGGGTTTAGAAGAGCAAATAAAACCTCTTGGCAATCAACGGTTTATACTTAAAGAAGGGGATTGCTATAATGTATCCAGAAAAAAGCAAATCACAGTACCATATTTTCCAATAACCGAATATCCCTAGTTCTAATTTCAAAAAGAAGTTATATAATTGCATTAATCTAAATGCAATGAACTTTGTACCTTGAAACGATATTGGCTGAGTGGAAAAGGTCAGAATGTCTAAGTTCAGCAACAACCCTCAAACGACTACATCAACAAGCACAGTAGAAAAAAAAGCCATAAGCCCAAATATATAGGATAATTTCAAGTCAATAAAAAAATCATTAGATGAAAACTGATGGACCTGTATCGCGTAAAGGTAGACAGAACAGATCGAAAATCTTCAAGTCCCGCAGAATAACCTTCTCTATTCATGACATTTGCTACCCTTTCTTCCTCTTTCTCTGACTGTCTTGCCCAATAGCGCCTCTTTTGCAGGTAACAGGTTTGAAGCTCATTGAACTGCTGATGATTGAACATGTTAAAAGAGAACATATAAACAATGAACAACATCAACAAGCACAATGATAAATTACAGAATTGACCTGTGCGTGAACGCGTTTTTTCCTTGCTATTGCCTGTCCAGGTTGATTAGGATGCTGTGAATCTGATCCACCGTGGTCATCCTTCCATTGAACAAGTTGAGATATTCCAGGAGCTCTTGTATCAGTGTTCCTGGTCTGTGTAGTACCAGCACGAACTTGTTCTTGTGAACCGACAGAACTAGAAACAATTGCACCACCTTCCTTATCTCCCAATGAAGGCCTGACTGTCATTGCCGAAGAATCATCTACTAGCATTCTCATTTTCGCTGAATATCTGCTCCTTGCCCTATATAACTCTATTCTACGCTTCTCCACAGCATTTATGTCTTCTTTAATGTACTTGAGATCATTTTGGATCTAGGAAATGTGCAGGATATGATCAATAATCTGCTTGAGTCTTAATTAATCAGCAGAGAGAGATGAGATTAAGGTTGTCTATTCTATACCACATATATATGGAACTGCCAGTTTGTAAGGACACTACAGTTTTAAGAGAAGAAATTTAACAAAGAAGACCGATTTGTAAGAGCACTCCAAATATAATCCCCTTAAAATGGGTAAGAACGAAAGAAATGCAGACACTATGTACAAAAGGGGAACTCTTAGACATGGCCACATGGGCTTAATCTTTTCAAATCATAACCAATTATGCACCCCTCCTTTGTCAGCAAGTTACAGGAGACAGAGGATAGTTAGAGCTTTTCCTGAAATTTATGACTTATATTGCAAAACTATGTCGCATTAAGCCTGACGGAAAAGGCATGCTCCAGGTATCTACCAACTCGATATGTTGCTTTTCCCCCTATAATATTCAATTAAAATATTCTTTCTTCAGTTAGAATGCAAAGATATTGTACAAGAAAAGCAAATCCCTACCTGCAGGAGGGATGTGAAGTAATAGAATAAAGTACAATAAGTTTTCAAGGTGATAACAGATAAACTCCAACTAAAAGTGAAATGTGCAAGTCAGCAGAAGTTCAAGACAAAACCTCATTAAGCTCTTCAACTTTTTGCTTCCTTAAACACTGGAGAAACTCAAGCAGAATCTGAAGATTTGTTTCAGCTTCTTCTTGTTCCATTTTTCTTTTCTTTTCCATAAGTAGTGATAATAGACTCTCCAGCTCTTTGATGGACACATCGCATCCCTGCCTAAGAATCAGATGAGAATCCTGAACAGATATATGGAAATAATCCCGAAACAGTGGCAGAGAGAGTTAAAAGGTTAAATCATCTGAGGCTAAGATGGCAGTTGCAAGAAGATAATCAAAGAACCTGACAAAAAGAGCAACTGACATACAAAGTCAGGAACGCTCTCCACCAAAACTAAGTTTAATGGACAAAGCTTGTTTAACTTTCCATGCATATCTGACCTGCTGTATTGCTTGGCGAAGTTGTTCCATAGGTGTTGCACTTTTGGCCATTTGGCGAGCAGATCTCTTCATCAATAACTACATAATGGAAAGAACTTCAACACAACTTGGTTTGACTGGTAAATAACCTTCGCAAAATGTTATCAACATCCAATACACTATTAAAAAGGTGAAGTAATGACCATGAAACAAAAGCCGACAAGCAAAGAGAAGAATGCAAACAAACGGAATAAAACTAGAATAAGAGGTTTGTCAATCAAGTTTTCACTCCAAAATTTAGCCCATTGTAGAGTTGTGATAGTCTGACAGAATTTGTAAAAACGTACAACAAAAACTCGAAGGGGAGATACAGATCAAACCAGAGTAACGTCAGGTACATTTATGATTTATATCTACCAATTAATCAAAGTAAAGTTTGATATAATAAACAAATACCATAACATACATTCAACAAGTCCATATAGAGCGTTGTTCATCCTAGTGAAGGGAACTTTCACCCAGCCACAGAAATGCAGTGTATTCCAACCAATATTTGTCATTGAGGAAGCATATAAAATAGCTTTGGTAAATCATTAATACCCGTAATCATCAGCTGACTTGAGAATTTTGAGCAAAATTAAACATCAATACCTTGCCATGACATTCAAAGGCCAGCATGATAATTCATTATGGACCTTTTTTTTAAATTCCTATTGGACTTGCTCACAAAGACCAATTTTTGTTCGGCTTTTCCCAGTTTATACAAAACAGCAGGTGAGCAGGATGAAACCAGATTCCTCTAAGGGTCTTCCGGAAACAACCTCTCTAGTCCTTCGGAGTAGGGGTAAGTTGTGCGTACACTCTACCCTCCCCAGACCCCACTTGTGGCATTTTACTAAGTTGTTGTTGTTTTGTTGTTGTAGTAGTATCAGAACATGATAATTATTCTAAGTACTATTACCCAGTAATGCCTAAAAAGCTACACAACATGCTGATCTTAACAGAAGTAACATACAACACATTTTCTGTCTTCGTTCATTTCTTTTACTCTCTTCGTTCATATACATTTCAAATAAATGTGATTATTACCGGGTGCCGATCCATGGTGTAAGCTATGGGTTCAACAATACCCAATTTCAGCCTAGACCTGCACCGTTGTTTACACCAAACTATACTAATTTATCATGATTAAATTATAAATTAAGGTGAAATTGTATAGTAATTAACTATAGTTTAGTACTAAGAGTGAAGGTGAAGATATGTGGCCAGGTGCGGGTAAGTTTCTATATCCCCATTTATTAGCAGAGGTCATTGTCCTACAATCTGAACCCATAAAATTCAAATCCGGTATACATTACATCATGTATAAGCGAAATTCACATGAAACATCCAAATTTATGGAAGAACCTTGAAAACTTTACCTTATTGAGTAGAAAATTAGGGTAAAGGTGATTAGTAGTCAAGTAATGCGAACAACAAGGACAATCACTTTTATTGTGAAGATGAGTAACAATGCACATGTAACAAAAGCTATGTCCACACGCCGTCAGAAAAGCATCCTTTATAATTTGCATACATATCGGACATAACATATCCTTATCCACTTCGTCTTCCTTCTCCAACGCCGGAATTTGCTCCTGAACCTCCACCGTCACCGCCGCCGGTGCTGAAGTTTCACCGGCATTCTCCGGCTCCGATTTAACCGTCGGAACTAAAGCTCCGATTAAACGCTCTCCTCCTCCTCCCATCACTCTTAAAGCTAAAGTTCGACGCAATTTTGCTAAAAATCTGAATGCATATATGTCTATCTTACGAATGAAGAAACCGGCGAGTGTGAGAGAGAGAGAGATGATTACTGTGTGTGTGTGTGTGTTTATGTTTGGGTTTTTGTGAGGGTGTAAACGGACCACGTTGGCGCGTACCCGCGTATTTTCAAAACTGGAGAGACTTGTTACTGCGACCGCCTCATAAATATCTCTGGCTGCGTTATTTTTTGTAATCAAATTATTTATATAGTTTTCTGTACATACAAGTTGCCGAAAAGTGTTTTTTCGGCTGCTGTCATTATAATATATACTTTTTTTGTCCTAATCTAAGTGACGGTTTAACAACAAATTTTTGCGTCGAGAAAAATAGATAATCAAGACTGGAAAATTAACAAATCTAGTATTTGATTTTAATAAATGAAAGTGTTACAATCTCTATGATATTCCTCTGATTCTTCAAGAATGTAAAGTATCTTAATGAGCTTGACTTTGATTTGATTCAAGGGCTTGTAAAGCTTGATCTTGAATCTCCTTCTTGAACTTGAACTTGGGTTTGATCACGAACAAGTAATTTGATCTTGAACGCCTTGGTATTTGATTTGGCTTCGTTCTTGATCTTGAACTTGTAGCTTGAGTGCTTGAGTGCTTGAACTTGTAGCTTGTAGAGAAATCTGCGGTGTTTGATCCACGAGCTCTCTGCTTGCTTCTTGTTATCACTTCTGGTGTCTTCTGGCTTTACGAAGACCTCTATTTATAGTTGTAGGGAGTGATATGGCTCAGCGATTTGATTGGTCCGTTTGAACCGACCAATACCATCCAGACACTTGGCATGATTTAATTGGCTCATTTATTTGGCTTGGATTGCCACATCACTTGACACATGGCACGATTTCATTGGCTCATTTATTTGTCTTGGATTACCACGTCACTTGACATGTGGCATGATTTTGTTGTCTCGTTCTTTTGACTTGGATTGCCACATCACTTGACACGTGGCATGAGTCTGGGCTTTAAGATGGACTAATAGCCATTTGGACCTTGGGCTAATGAAGTGAGCTTATCATTTAATTTATAGTCCAATTAAATGTACTAGCCCAACACTTATATTTTGGATTTAAATAATTAACCCAATTTACTGACCACAATATTTGTTTGGACTAGTATCTTGAATTTAATATGGTTCGAATAATTTGTAATTTAAAATCCAACCAAATTTATATGCTTACAGACGGTATTTGACTCGATATAAATTTAAATTTTTAAAAAAAAAGTTATGCTCTAAATCAAACTATAAATATTTATTTCCGTATCCATTAAGGATAAAATAAATATTTTAAAATTAATCTATTTTTAAATAAAAACATGATATTCTTTTTGTGACGGTCTTAAAAAAAGTTAAAAGCGTAAAAAGGGACAAAGTATTTCTTAAGTTTCGTACTTATCCTTTTCAACAAAAAGATATATATATATATATATATATATATATATATAACTTATAGGTCAAAAGTATTCATTAAACTTAAGATTTTATGTCCGATTAATCCACCTTCACATAAAATGATACGGAGAAATTAATAAATGAAATGATCAGTGACATGTTGTTATTGTATCATGTATGTTACCAGTAGTATTATTTGCATCGTTAGTTTATAATGAGTTACTTTAGTTGTTTTTTAAAAATCTTTTAGTCAAATGTTGTTAGAAATGAAATAATCTATATTATTATAAAAGCATGAATATAAAGTCGGTTTACAAAAATAACCTTATAATATTAAGCATAATAACTCATAATAAAAGGCTATAACCGGAATTCTAGATATTAACATTATAATCCTATTAGTTTTATGACATAATACTACACGTTAGAATCCTACACGATACCAAGACAACTTATAAAAGGAATTATAGCAACTAAGCGGCAGAATCACTTATATGGACGTTCTACCTTTTGTTTAATCTCTATGCAAATGTAAATATTTCGCACATAAAGTAAAATCATAGAAGAGAAACTAATTGGAATTTGAAGATCACTATTCAATAATCGGATCTTGTGATAGAATGATAAACGAGAAGTCGAGAACCTAATTTTATCCAAATTTTAAGGTTATTAAATACAAATGGAGGACAAGTTATTCACCCAAATCACTTTTACTCTTATCTATATCTACATATGTCTATGTCTATCTATATCAATATTATTATAAGAGCATGAATGAAATGTTGGAGTACAAAAATAACATTTTAATATTAACCATAATAACTCACAATAAAAGGACATAATCAGAATTCTAGACATTAGCCTTGTAATCCTATTAGTTTTAGCCTTTTAGGACATAATACTACACGTTAAAAATCCTACATGATAACCTTTAAGAAACCTATTAGTATAATTTTTTGGCATAAATATATAATACTACATGTTAGAATATACACCTAATACGTTTAGGAACATGTTAAATTTTCTATTAGTATAATTACTTTGGGGATATGGACATATTTTTAGCCATGTAATCCTATTACTTTTAGGATATACTTCTTAAAAAATTTCTATTAGTAATTTAACTTAAAAACGTATTATATTGTCCAAATCCATTTAGAAACATGGGAGTCTATATCTATCTATCTATATTATTATAAAAGCACGAATGTTCTATGCTAAATGTCGAACAACAAAAATATCCCTAAAATATTGATTGACATTTATACCCTTAATTATTTACATTAGTGTTTATAGAAAATCGTATGAAAAGGACAAAACTAGAAATACTACACACTAGGATAGGTACTTGTAATAGAATCCATCGCAAATCAGGATCTCTTCAGCGGCGATGATTTATTACAACACTAAGTGCACAAATATTGGTGGATTTGAATGTTCTATTATATGCAAAATATTAATTAATATTTGAAGAGATTTAACTTCCATTTTTTATTCATGGTATCTTTATTTTCCATGCAGAATCCCAAATTAATATATATTTATATTATAAATTTTCTACCTAATTCAATAAGAAAAGATTAGTAATCAAAATTTTAGTTGATTATAAAATTATAAATATTAAAAAATAACTTAAATGGCTAATTTATTCTATTATATGCAAAATATTAATTGATTTTTGAAGAGATTTGACTTCCGTTTTCTATACATGATATTTTTATTTTCCATACATAATCCCAAACTAATATATATTTATATTATATACTTCCTACCTAATTCAATAAGAAAACTAGAAAAGATTAGTAATCAAAATTTTAGTTGATTATAAAACTTTAAATATTAAAAGAATAAATTAAATGATAATTTTATTCGATGCATATTTTTAAAAAAGATAAACGATATTATATTTCATTAAAGGCCTTCGTGCTTTTAATATAGTCTGTATCTATCTATATTAATCTATATATCTATCTATCTATATTATTATAAAAGCACAAATGTTTCATGCTAAATGTTGAACGACAAAAATATTCTTAAAATATTAATCAACTTTTATACTCTTATATTTTGTTAAAAAGATAGTTCCATATTGAATAAAATAATAATATCTAATTAATTTGCCTAATATTTAGGAATCTAATACCAATTAATGATAGAATTTCTCAATGTACGTTACCTCCTGCCATCATCCACATTAGAGGCGCATCCGGGATTTAAATCTTATGGGTTCAACTTTTAAGGTTTTTAGCATTGAACCCATTATATTTTTTAAGTTATGGGTTCATATCCGCTACTTTTGCAATTTTAATAAATTTTTACATATAAATTGTTACTCCGCATCGAAAGTTATGGGTTCAGTTGAACCCGTTAGTTGTTCACTACATCCGCCTCTGATCCACATCTCCTACACAGTTATACCAACAATCTCCTATATTATTCTTTTATTAAATGACCAAATATTAAAACTTTGAGTTGGACAATATCAATCAAACCATTCTCCTTATGATTATTTTTTAAAATTTAATTTGAAACTCTTTCATAAATAATTGACTTAAAAATCTCGTGCAACGCACGAACGTAGAAACTAGTAAAATATACAAGTTAACATTTTTGAAAGTTTGTACATAATAATAACTTATTATAAATCGCGTTAGACCAAGGAAACGATTTAGCTATTAAATGCATGGTGATGGGGATGATCATGCTAAAAATATTGGCCACTAGTTGATTTTGAATTGGACATTTACAATTTAATGCATCTCTAGCCAAACCTCTCTCACATCAATTATCAAAACCAAATATGGGACTATACGTAAGTGCAATAAAGGATAGTCCTTAAAACTTGAGCCTGAAAAAAGAGGAAAAATAATTAAAGTCCTATGTGAAAAAAGCAATCTGATGCACAAGGTATTTCGTATTCACACAAGATTCGGACAAGGGCTGCATTCTGAGGAGTCTGATATAGACAGTCCAACACATTAATGGCTGCTTCCTGACGAGGCCAATGTGTATAGGATTTTCCTGCTCGTGCTTTGTCAAATTCTAGTATAGTTTATGATATCGTCCCACAGAGAGGAACATCTATGCTACAGACTTTTAATATTTCAACTACTATTTGAGAGAATCAATTTGAAGAAAAGTGAGTGAGGTTTAAAGCTTGTTAATTACTTAAACAAAAACCAAGAACTTTCGGAAGATTTATAATTTAAAAGAGTTGGGAATCATTGAATTCACTCGATAATATATTACAATAAAATCTCAATTTTTACATGTATTTCTCTGAGGAATAATTGCTTATTGCTAATACAATTATGTTTACCTCACTAAGAAGTAGTCAATTAATAGCACTCCGTGAGGTTATGTGATTGATTGAGTTAAAGCTAGTGACGATTAGACTGAAATATTTTTCTTGCTTGAATTGTGCTAAGAGGTTGTAAAAACTTCGTGAGAATATTTTTACTAAAAAAATCAATAATCTTACCTACGACAATTCCTCCGTGAGAATTAAAACTGAGACAAGCAAGATTACGAACTTGGAATAATAGTTTACTAAATATTACTCTGACTTTACTATTTTATTCATTGGTTATTATATATCAATTTTGCTTCGTGAGAATTACAAAATCAATATAAGAATAGCTTAGAGATAAAATAGAAGTGATAATAATAATTAATTAAAAACTATTATTACAACATGGTACAAAGTATAAAAAGAAAGTTTCAAGCCAATGATGTATTAAACTGA